CTGTCGCGTAGTTGGTTTGTTTACGCTCGCAGGGTAGTGAAATTCCATAGCCATTCATGATCTCGGATCACTAAGGATTTACATGTGAAAGCTCATGTGAAACCCCATGTGAAGTGTATGTGAAATAATGTGTGAATTACTAGATGTTTTGCCATTCAGTGAGGATTAAGTACATGTGAAAGCCTATGTGAAACCCCATGTGAAGTGTATGAAAATATGTGTGAATTTAAATGAGGATTGACATGTGAAAGCCTGTGTGAAACCCCATGTGAAGTGTAGGTGAAAATGTGTGTGAAAGGGTTGACATCGTTTCACACCCTTTTCACATATATTTCACTATGCAAAATTTCACATGCATGTGAAATATGTGTGTGAAATGCATGTGAAAAGTGTGTGAAAAACGTGTGAAAAACATGTGAAATGAGTGTGAAAATAGGACATTTTTCACACGTTTTTCACATGGTGTTTCACATACATACTCCTAGTAGTGTTAATCTTCAGAATTTTTAAGAACCTTTTATTATAATCACTATTTGTAAATGGACTTTTTATCATGATTAATGTAATCTTGTAATTTTATTGTTATCAATTTTTTTTTTTTAGAGGGCCACTAGGGAGGAAGAAAACTGGAATTCTTAACATCTTTTATTATAATTACTATTTGTAAATAGGCTTTTTATCGTGATTGTTGTAATTTATTATTATCAATTTTGTTTTTAGAGGGCCACTAGCGAGAATACTTCATAGTAATAGGTGTCACCCTCTTACAATAAGGGTTATTATTTAAAAGAAATCATCTCATCCCTATTACCTGGACTGCAGGAGAGTTCGGAATCAGTTCACCTCTAGAGGGAGGGGCTTAAAGATATAAGAAAAAATATCCTGCAAACAAACCTGAATTGAAAAACTTGTGAAATTGTAGTCTCTTCAGTAGCAGCAATTTACAGGTTACGATTTCTAGGGTCAGTATTTCTCTGTCTTTAAGGGAAGACCTAAAAGAAGCAATAAAATAAAAGGCTTTCCTTATTTCGCAGAATTAGACGAGCTGTAAGGAACTTGCACATGGTAACAAACCAGCACGTGGTAGAGCCAGGCTCCAATGATCAACCTATCGGATGAAACGAGCACCGAGAGAGGTGATCATGATCAAAGTAAAGAGGAAGACCTCAACTTTGAGGCACCCCTATCCTCCAACCTCCGTCGAAAGCATAAACAGCCATTTAAAGAGGCTCAAACAGCCCCTCCAGTAACACCAGTGTTAACAAAACAAAGGGCAAGACGATGCCC